CAATGCTTATTGTGCTACTTGTGCAAATTTAATTTATTCACCTTAGATGCCCCATTAAATGTAAGATGAGTCAAGTTCCACAACACCTAGAATATGCGGGGATTAAAATTCTCTACGGTAAAATTGTTTGACAAATATTTATTAAAATTGTTCTGAACGGCAGAAATCGACCAGATGTGTGAAATGCAATGAATTGTAGTACTAAGCCCCTGTAATTCACATACAAGTTTTGTGTTGGTCCGATGATGATGCTGTCATTTTTCTTCTTTTTCATATGACTTGTAACATTTCTGTCTAAATGTTTTAGAATTCAACGTACAAAGATTATTAAAATTTTGAAATTTACCATTATCGAAAAAATATATATTGCTGAGTTATCTGTAATTAGATGGATTTTAATGCAACACTTCTGGTCGTATGCATCACCGATTATGGCAAAACTTTTCTATTATAGTTAAACAGTTGTAGTAATATAATGCATTAATTTTATTATATACAATGTTTTAACGCCGCTGAATAGCAGAATAACAGGTTGACATGAGCATCTTAGCTGTTCGTAGATCTGAGTGTGCTAAATAATGAATGATTCGTCCAAGAACAAATTTCAGGACGTAATGCACTCCCCCTACCCACCTCAAATATCATGGAGCCGTGGTTCGTTTAAATGGCCCCTTTGGCAAGTTGGATGAAAGATGCGATACAATCGGTCATCTGGTTTGATCTTGGAGTAGCTATTCGTTAAATAAGACGTTTAAATGTACCCGTACGTTATTTTCGTAGATAAACTGTTCATGGCCTTTAAGGCAAAAGCAAACTTAATCATAAAACGCGGTTGGGATAGATTAGAAAGAGCAGGCGAATACAAATTCTCAGTATATAAATACTGATTTTATAGCATTAAATTTTAATTACGGTAGCAGATGTCATTCTCTGTTCAGGTGAATGAAAACATGAATGCAAATGTAATTTTAGATTAGGCCGAGGTTCCAATATATTGACTGTTCACATGAGTCGATTATTTTCTCTCTGTTTTGCGAAATAATGCGTTGCCAGAACTTCTGATCGGTCATCTTTCAGCAAGAACTTATTTCGATGACAAGCTATTCTGTCAAGTCTGAACTCTAAAACACGGTTATCCTACTATTTTCATTACACGGCAGTCTTTCACGTCTATCGCAGCTAGTTAGCTGTCTGTTCTTCACGGCAGTTCGTAACGAATTTCGATTATGACTACTTCATTTTAATATTTGTCCTATGACTGTGAGTTTCGTTCGCTACAGTAATCCTTGTTATTTGGTTGAGCTATTTCTTGCAAGCTGTATATATGATCATTTCTTTTTCATCTTTCTAGTGACTAACTCGTTTCTGGCGAAAACGAAAGCTAGTCTAGTCTGCTGAAAGGCTTCTGTTTACTGTCGCTCTTCGTTTCTGTCAGGTCTCTTTACTTAAGTTTTTGCATTGTTACTCAACTACGGATTTGCGTTTACTTTAGCTGACTGCCTACAGCTTGAGCTGTACTGTTTTAATGTTGAGATCAGCCTATGTGCAGTCTGGAAGTTATGTCCTAGCTTCTTATAGCCAGAAGTTATGTCGCTAACCATAATTCATCTATGCTTGTGAAAATTTCTACCATTTGCAGCAAGAGTATCGTTGTTAACTATATCATGGAAATGGAAAATTAAGGCGGCTGTATGCAGTTTAAGTATCTTATGAAGCTTATCTCAGTAATTCGAACTGTTGGAAAAACAGGTGCATTTTTCTACCTTAATTTACACAATTACCAATTTATTGGAACTCGAATAGCTGTCCGTGTTTTAACATATATGCTCTTCCTTAACAGTCGCTATATATTTGACGGTGACACTTGTTATATTTTCACCACAACTATTTTCGCGACACGTGTTGATTGATGAACATTGCTTGTTATTACTGGTATGTACGTACTGATATTATAGCTTCACAATGTCTGATGAAATGTTGTGTGGTGGAACAGCCCCAGCTCGAGAGCCCACTCCGGATGAGATCAAGTTGGTGAACGAAGTACGAATTGTTCTCGAAAATTATCATTAGTATTATTGTTATTCATAACATTAGATCAAATCTGAAGTAGAGGCGAAGACGGGCAAAAAATATGACATTTTTGAACCTGTTTCAATTCGCACACAGCCGGTAGCGGGTGTGAATTATTTTGTCAAGGTAAGAACTCTTACTGTTATTGCCGTTTTGAACGCGATCAGACTATGCACAGTTCTCTGTTGTCTAAAATTTCGCAAATGTTGCTAATTGACCTGTTCGAAGTTCATATACTTGTAACGAGTTGTATTTATTTTATAAAACGCTTTATTTCGTATTCGACAAAACTATATTAACCGAAATAGTTAACTTATTTAAGAGTCGATGTGTAGTGGTTGAGACGTAATCATATTTTTGTTAACTGTGGTGGAAAGTCTTTCAACCTCCTAATGTCAAAGGTGCCGGGTTCAAATCGAAGCATGTGTTGAATTTTTATATTATTAAGCGAGAATCTGAGCGAAAAACTTACCTCTGTTTTCGTTAAGGTAATCACATGAATGAGTGATCTACAAGAGATGGATTTGTTTTCATCCGTGGTCTTTCTAGCTCATGTCAGTCTTGTGATCATAATGTTGGCCCCTTTTACACATGAAACATGCATTGGCCCATGTGACAGCTGACTTAGTCAGTATATTTTTAACTCATAAATGTGTATAGAGTTACACTCTTTTCCTACTTGACAGAAAATTAAAAAAAATTGGTTCATTCCGTAGGCTTGTTGTCCTTTACATCAAATGCTTTATAAACTTAAACAACACTTATCGTAAAGGAATCGTGAATGAAAGCAACAGAGGACAGTTCTGTTAAATAGCTCAGTGAGAAAATAGCGTTGCCCTCTACATGTCTTGAAGGCCACGGGTAATTTCCCGTTCAGAACAGCTACGTAAATACCCATATAATCTGAGAGATCATGTGATATGAATGAAACCGAATTGTTTGCGGCGATTCAATGCTTTCTCATATTTTGTGCTGTTAAAATAAAAAGGTAATATGTAATAAAGAGTTCAGGTTATAATTTTAAAACAATTTTAAGAGACTATAGATAAGAAATTCCATACCAGACAACCTACTTAAAATACTTTAAGGTTATCGGACATCAGTAAAAAACGGCCAACACATGCCGTCAAAATATTCATAAATGTTAAATTTTTCTGTAGGTTTCCTTCTCTCATTCGTTGGTTGCATTTGCTTGTATATTAAAATTTATAATTCACGCAATATTATCTCACCCCGCTGTTATTCAAA